TGAGATTCTCAGCTTGGGTGTGGGGTGGGCAGAGAAGCAGGCAGGCAGCTGAGGAGCCATCCAGGGTGCCTGTTGTTCTGGCTGAGTGATGCTGCCCAGCCCAGCAAGGGGCACCCAGGGGACTGGTTTCAGCTTCTGATGGCAGGAAGTGTTGGGGAAAAGGCTTTCAAAGAGACCTTTCAAACTGCAGCTGAGAGCATGTGGCCATGGAAGTAGGCATACTCGCTGCTCCCTGGATGGTGCTAGGGCCTTGGATATTTCTTCCTGAACCAGCTGCGACCATCTGACAGGCCAGGATGTTACTCAGGACACAACTCAGCCCACTTCTGGAGAAAGAAAAGGAGCCAGAGCCTGCCAGAGTCTGAATTCCTGCATCTACAAAACCCTGTCCCGGATCCCTGAGAGAGCTCTCAGGCCCCTGAGAAGAGGGCTTGACCAGGTGTTCCAACCCTGTGTGATGCACAGAGCTACCCCCGCCCTTGCCCTGACCAATGGCTAGCCCTTCTGTCTGTCTACCTAATAGATCAAGAGGGACCATACCCCGTGAATTGTTCAAATTGTTTCAGCCCAGTATGGGCTGGCGCGTGGGGACAGACAGGCCAGCAGCCCAAGCCCCTGTACTGAGGTCTGCGAGTCTGCCCTGCAGTCTCCAAACACACAGGAGCTAGAAAACCCTGTGACTCAGCTCCAGCCAACGGCACATGAACAGAAGCAACATGTGCCATTTCAGATTAGAGGCTTTTAAGAGCAGCTGCGCCTCCTCCACGTTCTCACTTTCGCCTTCTGCCAGCTGGATGTGGATGACAACAGGACCTGAATAATGGTGCAGCCCCACGATGGAGAGAGCTAGGATCCCCAAATTACTACAAGGAGGAAAGCCACGTGCACAACAGGAGGCTTCGTCACAGACTCACATGAGGGAGAAACAAACTCCCACTGCGTTTGAACCATGACACATTTTGTGGTCTATGTTACTGCACCTGTGCTAGTGAATACCTTCCGGGACACCAGCATGGAGTGACACTCAGGTCATGTCTGCTGCGGCTGGCACTGGCCAAGGCCTTTCTCTTCCAGTGGCGCATGACCCTCTAACATTGATCACACCTTTTACTTGGGTAAACTAAGGTAGGTCAATAGAAGTATCTCTAATCAAATGCCAATGAGTGCCCACAATATGGCAGGCCAGTGACAGGCTCTGGGACACAAAGATAAATGCAACCCATTCCTGCCCAGTGGTGGAGGGGACAGATCTATGGCCACACAGTTATGATATACCATGGGAAGGTATGTGCTGGAAGCGTGGACACCCAGATCTAAGAGGGATGATTTGTCCTGTCTGAGAAACTGGAAAGACTTTATCCTGCAAGGCTTGGAGATGCAGCTGCCTTGAAAAGATGGGGAGGGCTGGGTGCAGGGCTCACACCTGTAATCCCAGCACTTCAGGAGGGGCGGGGATCACTTGAGCTCAGGAGTTTGAGACCAGCCTGGGCAACATGGCGAAACCTGGTCTCAACAAAGAAATACAAAAATTAGCAGGGCATGGTGGTGTACTTGTGCAGTTCCAACTACTCAGGAGGCTGTGGTGGGAGGATCCCTTGGGCCCAGGAGGTCAAGGCTGCAGTGAGCCATGATCAAGCCACTGCACTCCAGCCTGGGCAACAGAGTGAGACCCTGTTTCAAAAAAAAAAAGAAGAAGAAGAGGAGAGGAGGGGAGGAGAGGGGAAGGGAGGGGAGGGGAGGAGAGATGAGAGGAGGGGAGGGGAGGGGAGGGGAGGGGGGGGGAAGAGAAGGGAGGGAAGAGGAGAGGAAGGGACTGTTAAGAAAAGGTGAGGGGGCTTAGGTTCCAATTCAGGAGAACTATGTGTGCAAAGATAAGAGATATGAAGAAACCAAATTGTCTGAGAAGCAATGAGACACTTGGGGTGGCCTGATTATCAGTCATTAGATCCTGGGCTGGTGGGGCTTGGAGGAGGTGTATATTTTGGTTGTTTTTTGAGACAGAGTCTCGCTCTTTCACTCAGGCTAAAATGCAGTGGTGCAATCTCAGTTCACTGCAACCTCCACCTCCTGGGTTCCAGCAATTCTCCAGCCTCAGCCTCCCAAGTAGCTGGGACTACAGGCACCAACCACCATGCCCAACTAATTTTTGTATTTTCAGCAGAGGTGGGGTTTCTCTGTGTTTATCAGGCTCGTCTCAAACTCCTGACCTCAAGTGATCTGCCCACCTCGGCCTCCCAAAGTGCTGGGCTTACAGGCATGAGCCACCACGCCCTGCCCGGGGAGGTGTATATAGGATCTAGATTGTGGACAGCCTTGAATACCACGCCTGAGCCCAGCATGAACCATGGAAACTTATGAGGAATTGAATGACACCATCCTTGCCGTCCTCATTCTTGAGCTACCACCTGGGAAATATTTCATATGCTTTGTGTGTGCAGCTGTGTGCCCATGAGGCAGGTTTTTGTGATCTCATTTTGCAGATGACAAAATGGAGACTGCAAGAGATTAGGAAGTTTTCCAAGGCCACCCAGTAGCAGGAATGGAATACAAGCTTCAGACTTTGTATAGGGCACTGCCATACCCCAGTGCTCAGAACACGGCCTGGCATGTAGTAAGCCCTCAGTAAATACTTGTTGAGTGAATGAATGAATCTCTCTGATTCCAAAACTCTGTGACACTAATCAGACTTTTTATTTTCGAGACGGAGTTTCACTCTGTCACCCAGGCTAGAGTGCAATGGCGTGATCTGGGCTCACTGCAGGCTCCACCACTGGGTTCAAGTGATTCTCCTGCCTCAGCCTCCCAAGTAGCTGCGATGACAGGCTCCTGTCACCGCAGGCCTGGATAATTTTTGCATTTTTAGTAAAGGCGGGATTTTATCCTGCTGGCCAGCCTGGTCTCAAACTTTTGACCTCAAGTGATCCATTCATCTTGGCCTCCCAGAGTGCTGGGATTACAGGTGTGAGCCACTGCACCCAGCCTAATCAGACTTTTATTTAGAAAGACACCCCTGGCTTATAAAAAACGATGAGTTCATGTCCTTTGTAGGGACATGGATGAACCTGGAAACCATCATTCTCAGCAAACTGACACAAGAACAGAAAATCAAACATCGCATGTTCTCACTCATAGGTGGGTGTTAAACAATGAGAACACATGGACACAGGGAGGGGAGCATCACACACTGGGGTCTGTCGGGGAGAAATAGGGGAGGGACAGTGGGGGGTGGGGAGTTGGTGAGAGATAGCATAGGGAGATATGCCAGATAAAGGTGATGGCGAGGAAGGCAGCACATCACACTGCCATGTGTGTACCTATGCAACAATGTTGCATGTTCTTCACATGTACCCCCAAACCTAAAATGCATTTAAAAAAAAAGAAAGGCACCACTGGCTTTAGAGGTATGGAAGACACAGATGGTGGGATCAGTAAGAAGTGTTCTGCAGTGCCAGGAGCTGTGAAGGAGGACAGAAATCTAGGAGGCAGAAGTAATGCCAAGGAATTGGAGTGGGCAGAATGTGTTGGCCAGTTTGATAACAAGACCTGCCATTAATTGAGCAGTTGTTATATGCCAGAGCGATGGTCTAAATGCATCCCCCCAAATTCATATGTTGAAATTTAATCACCAATGTATATTAAAAGGAGGGGCTTTTAGGAGGTATTAAGGCATGAGGGCTCCATCTTCATGAATGGGATTAGTTTCCTCAGAGGGAGGTGAAGAGACCAGAATTCTTCCCTTCTACCTCGCAAGGAAACAGTAAGAAGGCACCATCTGGCCAGGTGTGGTGGCTCACGCCTGTAATCCCAGCACTTTGGGAGTCCAAGGTGGACAGATCACAAGGTTAGAAGATTGAGACCATCCTAGCTAACATGGAGAAATCCCGTTCCTACTAAAAATATAAAAAAATTAGCCAGGCATGGTAACAGGTGCCTGTAGTCTCAGCTACTCAGAAAACTGAGGCAGGAGAATTGCTTGAACCCAGGAGGTGGAGGTTGCAGTGAGCCAAGATTTTGCCACTGCACTCCAGCCTGGGCAATAGATCAACACTCTGTCTCAAAAAAAAAAAAGGAAGGTACCATCTATGACCCACAGAAAACAGGCCCTTACCGACACAAAATCTGTTTGTGTCTTGATCTTGGATATCACAGCCTCCAGAACGATGAGACATAAATTACTATGATTTATAAATTACCCAGTCTAAGGTGTTTTGTGGTAGCGGCAGGAACGAACTAAGATAGCCAGGCAAAGTCCTGAGCACTTTGTCAGTATTAATTATTATCTGTTCCCCACAAGCCCGTGAAGTAGGCAGGTGCTCTCCTGATCTCCACTTTACAGGTGAGTAAATTAAGGCACAGAAAGGTGAGAGGCTACAGATCTGGTGAGTGACAGAGGTGGGACTCAAAGCCAGGCGTGCTGGGGTCAGGGCTCTGTGCAGGGAGGGTAAGCGGGAGGGAGGAATCCTGGGCGGCGGCTAGGTTTCTGGCATGACACTGATGGCATGTGAGGCCACTGCTTCCCCTGCCGCCCTGGAACTCAGACAAGCCAGGCCACAAGCCAGGGGCTGCCTGACCTCTTGGCGGGGCCACCAGCGTTCTGGGTGGCCATTTCTCTCTGCAGGACCCTGAGGTGGAAGACTCCACCCCCATCCCTGGAGAGGCTGGCAGCCAACAACAGCAAGGCTCTGGGTGGGGAGGGGCAGCTCCCTGCCTTCTCCATAGTGCAGAGAAGTGGAAAGTCCCCTGCCCCAAATCCCCTGTGAAAGTCCGATCTCCACCCTTGCTGGGTGGGGGCTGTGATGCCTGGGCTGGGAACCAGGATATGGGGACTTACAGGGTCAAGACCACGAGGAAGGGAAGGGCTGGGAGTGAGGGGCAGAGGAAGGCCAAGGTCAAGCTCTCTGAGCCCATCCTGTAAGCAGAGACCCGCAGCCACCACAGGGCCCCAGGCAGGAAAGGAAACAGGAGGCTTCTCAAAATAGACCAGCAGTGTGCAGCTCAGATGCATTTCCCAGCTCCCACCATCTGGCCAAGCCTGGGCCGGAAGGCAGACAGGGGAGGGGAGAGCTGTGGAGGGGCTCCGACTGTTTGCAGCCCACCTCTCACCCAGACCTTCCCCTCTTCCTCATCTGTCGACGTTATGGCATCATTGCAAGGCCAGATCATCGTCATCTCACAGGTGAGAAAACTGAGGCTCAGAGAGGTATAGTGACTGGTCCAAGGCCACACAGCTGGTGAGCAGCAGAGCTGAGTGCAGCCTTGAGCCTCCCCACACAGCACCTTGAGGCCTGGCCACCAGGCCTGCAGCCTGCATCTGTCCTAAAAGCTTGTTAGTCCCCTGCCTTTCGGCTGAATCTGACCTTAGACCAGCTCCCCCGAAGAAAACCGAGTTTGTGATTCACCAGTTCCAGGCCAGGAAGGGCCAGTCTTTGGCACTGTCACACCTGCCTGTTGGCTGCAGGGGAGGACCACAGCAGTAGAAAGTTTGGGGAGAAGGTATAGTTGCATGTACCTATTGTCCCAGCTACTCCAGAGGCTGAGGGGAGAGGACTGCATGAGCCCAGGAGTTCAAGTCCAGCCTGGGCAACATAGTGAGACGCTGTCTCCAAAAAAAAGAAAAAAGGAGAGAATAAGCAGACAGAAATGGTCTCCTGGGATTATAGGAATTTTTTTTTGAGGCGGAGTTTTGCTCTTGCTGCCCAGGCTGGAGTACAGTGGCTCGATCTCAGCTCGCCACAACCTCTGTCTCTGGGATGATAGGCGTGTGCCACCACTCACAGCTAATTTTTATATTTTTAGTAGAGACGCGGTTTCTCCATGTTGGTCAGGCTGGTCTCTAAACTCCCGACCTCAGGGGATCCGCCCACCTTGGCCTCCCAAAGTGCTGGGATCCCAGGCATGAGCCACTGCGCCCAGCCCCAGCGGGATTATAGGAATTGAATCAACTTGAGCAATCAGCCTGTTTTACAGCCTCCTGCTCTGCAGCCTGTTTCTTCCTAAACCCTGTGTGGAATGCAGTTGCCTGCTTGCTCAAGCAGGTGACAGACCCTAACAGACCTCAGCAATTTAGTGACAAACCTGATTGAACTTTCCTTATTACCACGCCAAAGCCTCTGCTGTGGGAGGAGCTACGGCTTTATTATTGTAACATTTGGCCTATGTGCTGGCATAACAACTCCATGCGTCTGAGCCACCAGGACCCCACTCTACACTCAATGATGCAACTCTTCCCTCTCCATCACCCCATAAAACCCTCCTGTCATCTTCCCTCTAGAAGACGCTGTTTTGGAGAATATGCCCAGGGTGCCCCTTACTTGCGCCAAGTAATAAAACACCTAAGATCAAAACCACAGTTCTCATGAAGGGTCATTTGTTACTGACCAGGCAAATGAACCCCGGTGTTTTAGAAGTAACACAAAGGGTAAGGGAAAGTGGTGTGGGCACTCCAGGCAGGCCCTGCCAGGGTGCCCCCTGGGGATAGAACAGAGCTCCCTAACAGCTAACAGGGAGTGAGGTGTTCACACCTTAATATGAATTAATTTTATAAACTACTGTCCTTAAAAGCAGAGAGACTTTCCAGTGAGAGGATCAAGTCCAGGAGAAAGGGTCCACAGCGTGGAAGACCCTTGCCTGAGGCTAGGGCATGAGGGATATTCATTTTTCCTGCAGGGGTGGGGAAGCAGCTCTAACCCCTTGGACAGAAATCATTTTCCATGCAGATTCTTTCAGAGTCTGCCTGTTCTTGGCCCAGGGAAATTTCCCTGTGGGAGGCTGGGGAAGCAGCATCGTCTGAAACGCCTAAAAGGAAAAATCTTCTCTGCGTGCCAAACGCACATGATTGTTCCCACCATATCCCGGCCTCAGATCAGCTTCTGCCGGGATTCCATCCTGCCTTGGCCTTGAACCCCTGAGTGCTGGATTATGCTGGGAAGAGATTTGGGCTATGTTGGGAAGTCCGCCAGGTCTCCAGCTCTGCGATGCCTCCTCCTCCTCCCACCAAGTGGAATGGTCACTGGACTCGGCCTGGATGACCACCGTGGCTCAGAGGGAGACAGAGCCAGTCAGAGAGTGGGGGAGGTGCAGAGGGAGGCTTGTGGGGGCTGGTGACCCAGATTCCACTTCCTGTCCTGCTTCCCTCCATTCCCAGACAGCAGCTGCAGCTGGACACTGACCACAGGCCAGAAGGAAACCTAGCGCCACCTCCTTGCTAGAAGCAGCAACTGGGGCTTCCCTAGGCTGTGAGTCAGGTACCCGGAAGCCCCTTCCCCTACCACACCTTCCAGCCTGGGCCACAGAAGCAGCCCTTTCTGAAAGGCGGAGTCTGGAAATTCGTCCATCTGGGCAGCCCACTTCCACTTTCCAAAGGAACGAAGGCCCAGAAGGAGAAAGGGTGGGTTGGTGGCAGAGGCCACTGCCTGGGCCCAGGTCTTCTGACTTCAGGTTCTCAGAAGGTTCTGTAGGTATCTATTGAATAAATAGATGGATGGAAGGATGGACTAAGGGATGGAGATGCTGATGGGTGTGTCCCTATAGCAGTAAGGAGGGAGTCAAGAATCCATTACACTCGTTCTTCTTGAAGACTCGTAGGGTGGGGGGCAGGTCACTGGGGAGAACAGCCAGGGTCCCAGGCCCTGCTGTGCCACACTGTGCCAGTACTTGGAGTGAGGGCATCACTAGAACTTATTTTCCAAAATCACACTGTCTCTGGCTCTTTCTAAGGAGCTGCTGCATTTGATTCTTCTGGGACAGAGGTGGTGAGGTAGCACTCACCATCATCTCGTTAACAAAAGTTTATTGGGGTAGCTCATATACTGAATCTAGAATTTGCACTACAAATCCTGCAGACATGGTCCCTGCAGTTAACGGGGAGACAAACAGCCAATGAGCAAATAAAGGACTGTCCCAATGGACACACCCATGTGATGGCAGCAAATACTGAGATGCTTTTGGTGGGGAGAAAGGTTCGGTCTTCATTGTCTCTCAGAGGAAGTGATATTTAGGCTGATCCCAGAAAAGAATAAACCAGCCCAGTGAAGCTCCAGGCAAACAGTTTTTCCAGGTAGAGGAGACAGCAGGTGCCAGGGCCCTGGGGTGAGCAAGAGCACAGCATTGCCATCAGAGGAGGGTCACAGTGGGTGACTGGAGTACCCCGAAGGGGCAGAGGGAGGCCCCAGGAGAGGTCTTCGAGGCTGGCTGGGGCTAAGTAATCCAGGGCTTCGTGACCAAGGTATAAAGCCCGGTCTTACTCTGAAAACTGTGCCAAGCAGGGAAGGATTGTAAGCAAGACGGTTGCTGGGATCCAGTTTTATGCTTGAAGATCATAGTTTGCGCTAAAAGCAGAGTGGGTGGGGGTGGGGTGGGAGAAAAAGGCAGCAGGGAGGCCGGTGAGGAGGCGCTGGCAATGATCATGACGAGAGATGATGTCACCTGAAGGGTGGCAGTGTTGGTGGAAGAAGCGGACCCTTCAGAGAGAGCTTCAGATGGTGGAAACAATGGGGCTTGCTGAAGGAATTGATGACTGTGAGAGAAAGGGAAGAGAAATGGCTCCCATGACCCGGCTCTCCAATCCCCATAAATGCCATTTAATAAGACTGGGAAGGGTGACACGGAGTGCTCAGCTTTGGATGAGTTCAGTTTGAGATGCCTATTTATTTATTTGAGATGGAGTCTTGCTCAGTCATCCAGGCTGGAGTTTAGTGGCATCATCTCAGCTCACTGCAATCTCTGCCTCACGGGTTCAGGGGATTCTCCTGCCTCAGCCTCCCAAGTAGCTGGGCCTACAGGCGCATGCTCCACCACACCTGGCTAATTTTTGTATTTTTAGTAGAGATGACGTTTCACCATGTTGGCCAGGCTGGTCTCGAACTCTTGACCTCAGGTGATCTGCTCGTCCAAAGTACTGGGATTATAGTCATGAGCCACCATGCCCAGGCTGAGATGCCTTTAGACATCCAATCAGAAATGTTAGGGAGGCAATTGGATATTAATAGTGGTGACAGTGATCATGATAATCACCTATACTATTTGTGTTTCTCTTTTCCTGTTTGCCATGTGCCTTCCCACCAGACCGTGCCCCTCAAGGGCAGAGACTGAGCTGGATTTTGCTCATAACCCTGTTCTCAGCATTTCTCCAGCTCTGCGATGCCCCAGTGCTGTGCTGGGGCCTGGTGGGCAGGGCAGAGGGGAGAAGAGATGATCATTATTCATCAGATAAACAATTGAATGGGCAGAAGCCACTGTGCAGACGGAAAAGGAAGAACAGCTTTTCCTACAACCAGCAACAGACCCAGCTTAAGAAAATGGGCCTGGCTGGGCTTCTGGAAAACTCAGCCCTTGACCTCAGCTCTCCCATCTCTCTCTTTGGTCTCCTCCCACTGTCTGCCTGTCAGCTGCCTGCCAGGAAACACAGCCCTCAGGTGTCAATCATTAACATCACCTCTCACACTGAAGGTGCACTTTCCCTCTAAAAACACTTTGCCTTCCATTATCTTGAATGGTCCTTGAAACCACACTAGGAGGTGGGTGGAGGCAGCACCCAGTGCTCCAGACAGGAAAAGAGGCTCTGAGAAAGGGAGATAGCATTCAAGCCACTGGTGCAGCCAGGAGGGAACCCAGGTCTCCTGCCGCCCTGCCTCTCTTGGATTTGCTAAGTGCCCCTTTTAGCCCTGAAGTTCCCCGAGTCTCCCTCCAACTTGAAAGTCCCTGGGATCCAGCTCTGAACTCTACCCAGGAGGATCTAAAGGCTGTTATACGAAGGTCCCCTTCCCCAGCCCTCCCTGGCATAATGCCCCTGCCCAGGGCCACTCCTCTGGTGGCCTCACAGAGCCCCTGGCCGTTTCCCAGTAGCCTCTGCTCTGTCCAGCAGACACACGCCGCCTGCTCTCCACATCTAGACCCTTAAAGCAATTTCCCCTCTGTCGGGCAAAGCTGTGACAGGAAAGGGACAGGACCTGAGCCCTGTTTGGGAAACGAATTGTGCAACATTGTCCTACGAGGGAAAGCATGCAGCCAACGGGAAAGACAGCCTGAAGAAGCCAGAGCTTTCTTTGAAATGAAGATCTTGGCAAGACCCACAGAAAAATGTCCTTTTGGACACCACAAACTCTGGGTCACTGCTAATTTATTCCAACCCTGGTTGCAGTGTCTGGTCCCAGCATTCCTGGATTCAGAGCCTGGCTAGGTCACTGTCAAGTGTATGTGGAGTTGGGAGGCAGAGGATAACCTGCACTCCAGTCTGTTTGTACCCAAAGAAGGACTGAGTCCACAGCCCATTCATCTGGGCCTCCTCTCCCTAGGCCAGCAAGTAACACATTCTCAGCATCAGGTAAAAGTTATTTTGAAACAAGTCTAAGTAAAGCAGATAATGGGACAGAAAGGTGAGGGAGAGATTTTAACGGTGTAGCTACACAAAGCATTTTTTTTCTTATAAGGTGATTCTGAAGATAATGAAATCATTGCATCATTGTTTGGAATGAGTGCACAATAATGGCACCTGCCACATGCCAGAGACAAGGCTGGGAATTTTATATACATTATGTCTCATCTTACAGCAACTTTGCAAGGCACATTTATATATATGGAATCTCACTCTGTCCCCCAGGCTGGAGTGAAGTAGCACAATCTTGGCTCACTGGAACCTCTGCCTCCCAGCTTCAAGTGATTCTCCTGCCTCGGCCTCTTGAGTAGGCTGGGACTTACAGGTATGTACCACCATGCCTGGCTAATTTTCGTATTTTCAGTAGAGAGGGGGTTTCATCATGTTGGCCAGGCTGGTCTTGAACTCCTAACCTCAAGTGATCTGCCTGCCCCAGGCTCCTAAAGTCTCAAGATTACAGGTGTGAGCCTCAGTGGCCAGCCTGGCAGATTTCTTATCAGTTTCACAGATGAGGGAACTGGGGCTCCAAAGAGGTCACATAACCCCCACCACCACCCCTCCACCCTTCCCCCATCCCCACCCAAGCCACAGGTAGTGGTTTGAGGCACCCGAATCCAAACCAGGTCTGCTGGATTCTCCCCTGCCCACCACCAGGTCCCTCACAATTTTGTTGATGGGAGACAATATTTAACGAGTGACTCACGAAGTGACTCGAGTGTAAAACCTCGATCTGTGCAGTGTTTTCCTTAGAAAGTTCCTCATGATCTCAGTGCCATCATACTCTGGTTCCCGCCTCCCCTTGCAGCACTGAGCACCCATCCCATTCCCACCTTTGCCCTTCAGGTATAACCCGTGGCTGGTTCCCCTCCTTAGAAAGTGTGTTCACGAAGGCCAGGACCACATCCCCTGCACCAGGCACATAGTAGGTGCTCAATAAAGATTTCCAAATGAATGCAGCCTAATTCTTTTTCCTTAAGAATATTCTCTCATTCAAACTTGGCCTCCTGTTTTTGTCTAATTCCAAGTCATTGAGTATTTCCTGTAGTACCTTTATTCTAAAACCCTTTTGTGTATGCTCTAATCCTATTTGCTCTCTCAAGTTCCTTGAGAGCTTGCTGGGGAGAGAGACACAATCACCTCCAATGGGGAATGAACCAAAATAGGACACACAAGGCTGTGGGTGGGCTCTGCGAAGCTCACTCAGATCCCCTGAAGGCTGAGGGACTTCTTCCCCTACACTAGGGTGCCCCAGACAGAACTCCTCCTCCCCCACCTTGGGCCCTTTCCTAGGCACCTGCACCCAAGGCTGACTGACTAGGGGCTGGAGGCCTGCCCTTGCAACAGCGCTGCGTGGCCACCCCGCCTCAGAGTGACCTGGACAGAGACCAGCTGTACCACAGCCACCGCTCCCCTGACCACTCCTGCCTCCTCTCTTCTCCCACTGTGTGAATACCAAGAGCGCTCCCTAATTCTGGCTCTGCACACAACTCTCCTCCTCAGGGAGTTTTGTCACCAAAGTTTACTAAAGCTTTCTCAACAAACAGACTCTAGCTATGCAATTCCTTCAAAGTCACAAACAGACCAAGACCCAAGTTGAGACCCTCTGAGCTTTCAGCTCCCTTTCGGGGAGAATGTTTTGAAGGGAGGTGGAAAGAGAAAAGGAGGCTTTGAAGTTGCCCAGGGCAGGGAGAGGGAGCAGAAGGCGCCAGAGCATAGGAACACCAGCGCATCTCCCTGGAAACCTTGACCAAAGCTGGCTTGCCACACCCTTCCCGGTTGGGAATTCTGCCAAGACAGCCCAGAGGAGGCTCCTGAGCAAAGGGCCCCCAGAGCTTCACTTCCTGGCTGGCCTTCTGGGCCTCCCAAGGCAAACTTTCCAGAGGAGGAGCAAAGGAGCACAAATTCCTTCCCATCCAACACCCATGACTGCCAGCTGGGAGGCAGGAGTGGCCGTAACTAGGATGAACATATATAGTATTGCGTTAGGAGAAAAGGGTTTTTCTTTAACATGTTGGCGTTGATCAAAAATGTCACACCCCATTTTTTAAAGACAAATTTGGCTGTGGTAGCAGATTCTGTCTGTATCCCTTCCATATCCATAGACCATGACTTGCTCCTCTTGCTGCAAGCGTCGTTTCTCTCTGGAATCCAAAGGGGGTCCTCTTCCACTGCTAAGAAAGCCCTAGTGTCTGGGGAAGTCAGAAGTGCCAGGGAGTTGTGCCCGCTAGGCGCTGACCTCAACCATGTTACCAGGACTTGCTGGAAGAATGCCCGTGTGTGCTGCCCTTCATGTGGGCTACATGAAGGCATGCGCTACCCAAGCTCCCAGAGTCCCCAGGCAGACAGAGTCCACCTGCCCACGTGGGTGACATTCTCCTTAATGCAATCTGTACTGTTTGTTTGTTCCTGCCCCATCTTGTTTCCCCATCCCCTTACTGCTTCCTGGGATCACTTCCCAAATAAACTGCATTCAAATCCTTTTGGGTTTGCTTCTGGAACGAAAAACAATCATCTATGATGTCCTCTGAGGGAGGCCATGCAGTGATGCCTGTGCGCAAATCCTGGCTTCCCCCTCTACTATCTAGGTGACTTGCACTTCTGAGCCTCTATTTCTTTACCTGTTAAATTATGATGATAATTGTTGTGCTTACCTCAATAGTTGGAGGTGAGGATTGAATGAGATGATTCACATAAGGCAATTTTCACAGGACCTGGTACTTGGTACACACTGAAAAGCTACTAGCTATAACTAATAGATGGCCATAAAACAGAGCCAGATGACAAACTACTAATTGGAGGGACAATGTTTAAAGCAAATGACAAGCAGAGGATTATTACTCTTAAATACAAAGAACTCTTGAAATTTATGAAGAAAAAGACAAAACTACCTTGTAGGATAGCAGCAAAGGACATAAACAGCTAATTCACAGAAGAATAATGAAAGCACCCAATAAACGTATTAAAGGATGTGTAAGTCAATTCCACTAATAAAGAAACGCTAAGAAAAAATCCACCATAATTGATTATGTAAAAATTGTCCAGTTGGCAATCTTTTTTTCTTTTTTTTAAAATTTATTTAATTTACTTTAGGTGCATACTATATCTGGCATTTCTCCCCATGTTATCCCTCCCCATCCTCCTCTCCCTTCCCACCCCCGACTGTCTCTCCCCCACCCCTCCTCAACTACCCCCAGTGTGTGATGCTTCCCTCCCTGAGTCCACGTGTTCTCATTGTTCAACATCCACCTATGAGTGAGAACATACAGTGCTTGACTTTCCGTTCTTGTGTTGGTTTGCTGAGTATGATGGTTTCCAGATTCATCCCAGTCCCTACAAAGGACACGAACTCATCATTTTTTATGGCTGCATAGTATTCCATGGTGTATAGGTACGGCAATGCTTTTTAAAGATTGATAATATCTTGTGATACTAAGAGTGCCCCAAAAATAGACAGCTGATGATGAAAACACAGACTGCTCCAATGTTTTCACAGAACAATGTGTTAGTGCTCATTTAAATTCACAGACCACTTAGAAGAACACCTCCTACAGAAATCCCACACTATTTGGTTTCAGGTGCAAGAATATATTCATCACAATATTATGTTAAAAAAAAATTTAGGCCAGATGCAGTGGCTCATACCTGTAATCTCAGCATTTTGGGAGGCCGAGGAAAGTAGATCATGAGGTCAGGAGTTCAAGACCAGCCTAGCCAAGATGGTGAAACTCCATCTCTACTAAAAACTTAAAAATTAGCTGGGCGCAGTGGCAGGTGCCTGTAATCCCAGCTACTTGGGAAGCTGAGGCAGAAGAATTACTTGAGCACAGGAGGCAGAAGTTGCAGTGAGCTGAGATCACACCGCTGCACTCTAGCCTGGGCGACAGAGTGAGACTGTCTAAAAAAAAAAAAAAAAAAAAAAAATTTAAAGCAACACAAATGATGGTTATGGGATTAAATAAATTATGTTATCTCCAAACAACAGAATTCTAGGCAGCCATCAAAAAGAATGAGAGATTTACATGTACTGCCAAGAAAAGATGACTGAGTTTATTATAAAGAAGAAAAAAAGTTACACAATTCTATAAACAGCGAGATTCTATTTCTGATTAAGTGATCCTTTTTACATATCCTTGTAAATTTTTGGAATTGCATAGACAAATCTGGAAATAACATACATCAGGGACGGGTGGTGATTTCTGAGGCTTAGAATTACACAAAGTTTTTACATGTAAGTTACACATTTCTGTAATGTTTGAAATGTTGCCACTTTCTTTTGGTTGCTTTTTTGAGACAGAGTCTCACTTTGTCACCCAGGCTGGAGTGCAATGGCACAATCTTAGCCTCTTGGGTTCAAGTGATTCTCCTGCCCCAGCCTCCCGAGTAGCTGCGACTTCCAGGCATGCACCACCACACCTGGCTAATTTTTGTATTTTTACTAGAGATGGGGTTTCCCCATGTTCAAGATCCAGACTGATCTTGAACTCCTGACCTTAGGTGATCCGCCTGCCTCGGCCTCGAAAAGTGCTGGGATTAGAGCTGTAGTCCCAGCCACTTGGGAGACTGAGATGGAGAATCACCTGAACCTGGGAGGTGGAAGTTGCAGTGAGCTGAGATTGTGCCACTGCACTCCAGCCTGGGCAACAGAGGGAGACTCCAACTCAAAAAAAAAAAAAAAATGAGCTAGGCATAATGGCATGTGCCATATGCCATCTATTTAAGAAGGTGAGAAAGGAGGACTGCTTGAACCTAGGAGTTTAAGGCTGCAGTGAACTATGATCACAATACCGCACTGAAAATTAAAAAAACAGCAAAATATTAGCAGAAGACGTACACTGGTGATTTTTTTTTTTTTGCATTTTGCTATTTCTGATATTTTCTACAATGCTTTTATATTATGTTCTAATGTTCTAATTATAAAAGAGATATTTGTTAATTAGTAAGCAAATATCTCTTTCATAATTAGAAACAAAGCATGTGAATTTTTAAGAGATGGCATAATTTGTGGCGGTCTCAGCTTGCCACGACAGACTTACCCTTCAGGGCATATTACTCACCTAGCAATCTCTATGAATTTGCAGTATGTTAGGGTTTCTGCCTTTTAATTACTTTTCAGGAGTGCCTTACAAAAATATTAAATAAATGGCAGCCAAGGATGGGCCTTGATCAGCTTGAGCAAGAGCTTCCTAGAGGCCAGGCGCAGTGGCTCATGCCTGTAATCCCAACACTTTGGGAGGCCAAGGCGGGCAGATCACTTGAAAGCAGGAGTTTGAGACCAGCCTGGCCAACATGGTGAAACTTCCATCTCCGCTAAATATACAAAATTAGCCAGGCATGGTGGTGGGCAACTGTAACCCCAGTTACTAAGGAGGCTGAGGCAGGAGAATCACTTGAACCAGGGAGGCGGAGGTTGCAGTGAGCTGCGATCGTACCATTGTGCTTCAGCCTGGGCAACAGAGCAAGCCTCCATCTCAAAAAACAAAAAAAAAGAGCTTCCTAGAGACAAGAGGAGGAAGAACTCTTCCCATCTGGTGATACTTGTGCTGGTTGTTGGTTGTCCATTAAGTAGGAAGCATATCCTACATGATGTACACGCATGATGTCCCATCTTACAGATGAGGAAACTGAGGCTTAGAGAGATGAGTAACTTGCTCAATGTCACACAGCTGGTGGATGGTGAGGTCAGGATTCAAACCCAGGCCAGTGTGACTTCACCACCAGAGGCTACTGTTAGATTCAGAGTGAGAGATGTCTCCAGGCCACCCAGGTGGGATCTTTAGGCAGGATGCCTGGTACATTAATTTCCTATTGCTGTTGTAACAAATTACCACAAATTTAATGGCTCAAAATGACACAAATTTATTATTTTAGAATTCAAAAGGAGGTCAGAAGTCTGAAATGGGTCTCACTGGCCTAAAAACAAAGTGTCAGCTGAGTTGCATTTTCTTTTGGAGGCTCTAGGAAGAAAATGTTTCCTTGTCCTTTCCAGCTTCTAAAGCTGCCTGCATTCCTTGGCTTGTGGCCCCTCTTGGCATCTTTAAGGCCAGCAATGGGTGGGTGAGTCTTTCTCACCATGCCATCTCTTTGGTTCTCAGTCTTCTACGCCTTTCATCCCCATTTAAACACCCTTGTGACTACATTAGACATACAGATAATACCAAACAATCTCCTTAATTTAAGGTCACTGGATAAACAAACTTAATTCCATCTGCAGCCTTAATCACCCTTGCTATGTAGCATAACATATTATTCACAGGTTCCAGGGATTAGGACATAAGTGAAGAGCCATTATTCTACCTGCCACGCTCAGAGAGGCAGCAAGTTCATGGGGCCACCAAAGCCCAGGGTCTGGTTTCCACCTTTGCATGAGGATGGAGAAACTGACTCACTCTGGCTAAAATGTCCAACAGCCTGAATAACAGGGTAGGAATGCCTGAACACAGTGGGAAGACTGGCCTTTCAAGAGGATGCTTCCATTCGAGGCACCTCTGTCCTGGTCCTGACAGAGTCAGAAGGATCTGGCCACAGATTATTTACCCAGTCTCATTTATGTTTACTCTTATAAAAGTAATACCTACTCAGACAAGATATTCAAACACTACAGAAGTGTGTGCCCGTGAGACACTATAATGTGTTCATCAGGACTTGCTTCCTGCTGCTCTTGCTGGCACACAGTAGCTCTCTGTTCCGGCCATCCTTGTCATCTGGTGTGTCCACGTGACACGTTCTGGCCAATGGGAATAAGCAGGAATGAAGGGCACCCCTTCCTGACCTGGGCCCAGGAAAACATCTACAGATGACCCTCCCTGTGCCTTCCCCTTCTGCAGAAAACTGAGACTCCGGCATGGAAAATGGCAGAGCTTTATGATGAAACTGGAACTCTGGATCGCTGCTTGAAGAAGAAAGGCACACCGGTCAGGACACCTGTTTTTGACTTTATGAGCCAGAAATAAAATTGTATTGTGTATGCCAGGGAGCTTTGACTGTTTATTATACCAGCTCTCATTACCTTAACAAATACTTAGACTTTGAAGTTTTCTTAAATCTTTCAGGATTTAAATATACATTCAAATATAAGGGATATATAAATAGAAAGCATATACATAGAAGACCAACACTGGTACACTGTGGGAGGGAACTATAGGAGGATGTGAGTATCAGGAGATGGAGATTATCGGGCAATATTGTGGAGCTGGATACCATAGTCTGCCTTCTGTCCCTTGTGATTTGTATTCTTCTCTCATAGAAGACACAGTAACCTCCTCCCAAGGCTCCCAAAGTCTCGTCCCATTACAGTGTCAGCTTTAAATTCAGAATCTCATCATCTAAATCAAATCCAGGTATCAATGAGGTTTTTAGAGTGCAGTTCTTTAAGTATAGTTGCTCGAATACATTTTTCTCAATCTATAGACCAACTACAGAGACAAATTATCTTGTCCCCTATACACACCACATTCAATGATGGGACAGGCATAGAATAACAACTATACAGTCCTGTTCAAATAAGGCAAATGAGAGGTACAAAGGAGTCACTGCATAGTGATTAATTATAAGATGCAGACTGGGCAAATGTTGTAGGTTCCTTGATTAAGACTCGGTCTTACTCCTGTCAAGAAGAGATTCTCCATGGCTCTTGGCTGCACCTTCTAGTTCCACCCTCTGAGTCATCCTTCCTTTTCTATGGCAGGCAGCACATGTTTGCAGAACAGTAGCTCTGTATAAATTTGAGAACCCAACTGTTTCTTTTTATTTTGTAAAATCTCTGTCTTTTTCAGATCAAGGTAGTCATGTTTTTGCTGATATAATCATCATAAAAGCTGTCTGGATCTCTTGTGAATCTTATTAGGGTTTGCACTATTACACAAAGTCACACATACAAATCTGAGATAAACCCTTCTCTATCTTGGGCTTCTGGTGAGAGACAACAAACACCCTTGAGCTTCTTCGTAGCTATACCATTGGACTGAGTAAATCTGTGAGGCACAATCTTAAAACTTTACAGGATATTCTGCCTGCATGAATAGTATTCTCAGGCCCCTCCTTAAATGTTTCTGAGATCTTAAAAAAAATCTGAAGTCACATCCTATACTTCATTTATAGCCTTTTCTTTTTGGTCAATGTCTTGACTTGATCTTTGCTCAAATGTATTTCTTACTTTTAGCATTGTTTGCATCTGGATAGGCTTAGAATTATTAAATGTATCAAGCTCCTGCTTCTTCATTTTTAACAGTGTTAATAAATTTCCTGTCTCTACATAATATGGATTTTTCTCTCCTCTAATTTTTGGTAGGATTCTACTCATTTTTTTGAGCCCTCACCGGCAGCCTTCACAAAAGGTACAATGCTTCTATAAACAGTTTCTTTGGAACATTTAAATTGTCACTAACACTCTCCTCAGAGTCCTTCCAGCTTCTGCCCACCACCCAGTTCCAAAGGCATTCCTACATTTTTAGGTAGTTTGTATGATAACACCCCACTCCTGGTACCAAAAATCTCTATTTTTCCTCTATTGCTACATAGCAAATTACACCAACCTTAGTGTCTTAGAACAATAAACATGTATTATCTCTCAGTCTCTGTATTCCAGGAATTGGGGGGCTGCTTTTTTGGAAGATTCTGGCTCAGAGTCTGGCATGAGATTACAATTTCAGCCGTGGCTGTGTCAACTAAAGGCTTGCCTGGAGTGGGAGTATCTGCTTCCAAGGTTACCCATGTGGCTGTTGGCCATAAGTTTTTATTTCTACCACATGCACCTCTCCATAGACCTGCTTATTACACAGTAACTGTCTGTATTCTACTGGTCACACAGATCAACACTTGCACACTGTGAGAACAGATTATATAAAGGTTTGAATTTCAGCATGCAGGAATCCTTGGGGCCCTCTTGGAGGCTAGTGTTGGGGATTGAATGGTGCCACTGCTCCCCATCTCCCTGCCAAAGTTATGTCCACCTGCAACCTGTGAATGTGAACTTATTTGGAAAAGGGGTCTTTGAAACTATAATTAAGATAAAGATCTCAAGATTAGGTCATCCTGGATTAGCCAGGTAAGCCCTAAATCCAATGACAAATGTCTTAAGAGAAAACACAGGCAAAGAAGACCAGTGGAGATAAAGGTAGAGATAAAGATTATGTGTGTACAGGCCAAGGATGCCAAGGATTGCCAGCAGCCCCCAGAAACTAGGAAAGAGGCGTGGAGTGAATTTTCCCTCAAAGCCTCCCAAAGGAAACAATCCTGCCAACACCCTGACTAACAGCAGTCACAGTCCATGAATACAGCTGGCTACCACAAGAAATCAGCCCATTCATGTGATTCTCACGCTAAACTCAAAGGTATGTATCTTTAGGTCTCCTCCTAAATTTCTTTGCCTGTGGAATCTCATGACAGCCATTTCACAAATATTTACTGAACACCTACCATTTGGCAGGCATTGTTCTCAGGCTGGGAGCACCACCGTGAAGAAAAGAGACAAGAATCTCTGCCTTCACTCTCTATCACAGGCTAGTGACATTCTCTAGAAAGGAGCTTTCATCTTGCTAAGGGTCAGTTCAATGCCTTAGTACACTGGCTTTTCCAATTTCCTCATGTCATAGTGATCTTATGCACCCACTGAAGGAAGATTAAGATGAACAGTCCTAGGGTGGAAGGTTGCATTTAAAAAAGGAAGAAATACAGAATTCTGCAACATTGCCTATTTCAGCATAAACGAGAGGAGTGAATTATCCGTAAGCAGCTCTACCCTCAAATCCTCATTCTTTAAGTGGAGATTTAAGAACAGCTCCCCCAGTACCCACTGAAACCATCTCATGCTCTTCCACCTTTTTATTTCATTAGATGGTTCTCTGTCTTTCCTGGTCTGGACAGTCCCTTGTATATCAAATGCAATCAAATTGCCCTACCCTAGCCCACCACAAGGGTTGAGAGCAGACCAAAGTAACTGATTAGGCCAGTAAGAAGATGGGGATGGTATCTGATTAAGCAGTATGACCTTGCAAACTATTATTATATATATGGAGGTTTCTTTTCCAGGAGATATATATACCAAAGAACAGAGCATCTGCATTTAAAAAATACATGATGTATTTGCATATGGAATCCATAAATGGATTAAAACTACCACTCAAAATCATTTTGTGCACAGAACATATTACACAACTACTTAGTTGCCTAAAATAGTGTTGGATTATTTCTCAAAACCTGTATCCACACCTGTTTATTTGGCACTAGATGCATCTCATTCCAAGTCATGTTATGTGGTCTTTCCTCTAAAATATTGTATCTTAAACTCCAGTGACCATCAGCATCACTTTGGATGGATGAATGCTTACCAAAGATAAAAATTCATCATAGAAGTTGTGATTGTGGATGCATGGTTGGGGAATTCATGTGGAGGCCAGAGTGGAAGCAGGTGTGAGAGGGTCCAGCAGAAGAAAACATGGCTGCCAAAGTGTTTGAATCCATCGGCAAGTTTGGCCTGGCCTTAGCTGTTGCAGGAGGCCTGGTGAACTCTGTCTTGTATATAATTGGATACTGGGCCCAGAGCCGTCATCTTTGACCGATTCCGTGGAGTACAGGACATTGTGGTACGGGAAGGGACTCACATTCTCATCCCGTGGGGACAGAAACCAATTATCTTTGACTGCCGTTCTCTACCACGTATGTCCCAGTCATCACTGGCAGCAAAAATTCACAGATTGTCAACATCACCCCACGCATTCTCTTCGGGCCCGTCACTAGCCAGCTTTCTCGCATCTTCACCAGCATCAGAGGGAACCATGATGAGCATGTGCTGCCGTCCATCACTACCAAGATCCTCACGTCAGTGGTGGCTCACTTTGATGCTGGAGAACTAATCACCTGGGGAGAGCTGGTCTCCAGGCAGGTGAACGGCGACCTTACGGATCAAGCAGCCACCTTTGGGCTCATCCTAGACGACGTGTCCTTCTAGACACATCTGACCTGGCTTCCACAGAAGCGGTGGAAGCCAAGCAGGTGGCTCAGCAGGAAGCAGAGAAGGCCAGATTTGTGGTGGAAAAGGAGGCTGAGCAGCAGAAAAAGGCAGCCATCATCTCTGCTGAGGGTGACTCCAAGGCAGCCACACTGATCACCAACTCACTGGCCACCGCAGGGGACGGCCTTGTAGAGCTGTGCAAGCTGGAAGCTGCGGAGGACATCGCGTACCAGCTCTCAGACTCTCGGAACAGCACCTGCCTGCTGGCGGGGCAGTTCATGCTCCTCCAGCTGCCCCGGTGAGGACCCACCCTCTCTACACCTCTCTGGGCCAACTGCACCACAGCCCCAGTGATTTTTTTTTTTTTTTTTGAGACAGAGTTTCGCTCTTGTTACCCAGGCTGGAGTACAATGGCGCGATCTTGGCTCACCGCAACCTCCGCCTCCTGGGTTCAGGCAATTCTCCTGCCTCAGCCTCCCAAGTAGTTGGGATTACAGGCATGCACCACCATGCCCAGCTAATTTTTTGTATTTGTAGTAGAGATGGGGTTTCACCATGTTGACCAGGATGGTCTCGATCTCTTAACCTCGTGATCCACCCACCTCAGCCTCCCAAAGTGCTGGGATTACAGGCTTGAGCCACCGCGCCCGGCCCAGCCCCAGTGATTCTTAACACCGCCTTCCTTCTGTCCCCACCCCAGAAATCACCATGAAATTTCATGATTGGCTTAAAGTGAAGGAAATAAAGGGAAATCACTTCAAATCTCTAAAAAATTTAAAAAAAAAGAAGTTGTGATTTTGCATTATTGAGGCAGTGTCCAAGAATCTGCATTTAACCAGCTCTCTCAGTGATTCTCTCTTTTTCATTTTTTTTTTAATAAAAAAAGAGAGAGATGGACTATCTTGCCTAAGCTGGTCTTGAACTCCTTCACTCAAGTGATCCTCCCACCTCAGCCTCCCAAAATGCTAGGACTGGAGGCACGAGGC